ATAACCCATTTTTGTGACCCACCTGTGCTCACTTATTAATCAAGATTGGGTGAAGCCCCCTCCCAAGCTTATAAAATGTTTGCTTGACTCCTGTCCACCCTTTTGCACCCTGACGTAGACCAGAGTCGAAACCGGTTGGTGTTTTAATGCAAGCAGACATCTTTTGAAATGAAGGCTTTTTAACTTAATTCAAACGCATCTGTTCCTGCTTCACGCATGAGTGCCTGAAGTTCATCTTTTGTTCCCATGTGCTGACCCTCTTCTTCAAGAGCCCCTGCGTTTTTTTCTTAAGTATCATATGATTAAGACAGTACTCGAGCACACTATCTCATTCTTCAAAGTGTAATTTTGTTCTGTTTCAAACTGACATTCCATAGATAAGTTCCAAAAATGGCTTCATCTAGTCAGCATCTGCTGATGTTGTCAACATTCCCTGAGGAGTTTTCACAATTGTAGGCCTAACCTACCTTCAGTTAAGTTACAACTATGTAACTTTGGAAAGAAGAATTAACACCGACTCTTACAAATGAAGAGTTGAATTCATGAGCAATAAGAGCCACTGTTGCAGTCCCTTCAGGGATTTTGTTGCAACAGTAAAGCTGCATGATAAATTGAAATACCATCAAAATCTTGACTCAGTCCTCTATGCCATCTCATTTTTAACTCAACAACGCTTCTGCCATGTTGTTTGTATTAGAAGGGAGATCTGTTGCATGAAAACATACACACCTAATTTCTCCCTAAGCTGCATCAACAAATGACAAGTGTGCATTACACTCGGGCTGTCAAAACTGGCCAGAAATTATGTTGGATTATTCCTTCTAAAAACACACCAAACCACCGAAATACATTTTTGCATGCTGTGAGAGACTGATCTACTGGTAGGGATGGGAATCGAGAACCGGTTCCGTTAAGAACCGGTTCCAACTGGTTCAATTCATCGACATCATTAGCCTTTATGCTTAACGATTCCCTTATCGATTCACTCACACAACAGCATGACGTGCAATTTATGCAGCACCGTAATTACATGCAAGGGCGGAAACACCACCAATGCTACAGTGATTTGTTTTCCACTACAGAGCTCTACGATGTGAGCATTTTACTCGCATTTGCGACTAAAAATAGTTTTGTGTGAGCAAAATAAATCATTCAGCATGCTGTGCGAGTACAGATTTCAACCAGCAGCAGAAACGAAAGGCAAATCCTGCCGGTTGTGAGTTGAACGGGGGTCACAGACACAGACATGGACAGGAATACGTATTCCTGTCAAATACGGCGGCCATAGTTCTCCGCGGCGCAAGATAACGGCTTACTGGCGACAGAGAAGCCCGGCTGCAGGTCCAATAATTTTCTCTTCTTGGTGTCATGACCGCCCAAAAGTACCTGAACAGCCGAGCTGTGGCGGCACACAGGTATGTGACGTGTCAGAGGGGAAACGAGCCGTTCACATTACTCTTTGTGGCAGGTAACGGTCCACAAACCTCAGCGCACTTTAGGGACTGTTCTTAACTTGTCAGGGGAGGACGGTGGCTGGTTGATTTTTATTTTATTTATTTATTTTATTTTGATCCCCCCTATGTTAATCACTTATTATTTTTGAAGTATGAATAAGTCAATAAGTAATTTATTCCACTGAAATATCATTGATGTATTATAGAAAAATGATTTATCTTTTTATAAATGACAAAAGGCACATCTGCCTCATTTTTGCCGTGGTATCGTGATACTACTCAGAACCGTGATACTTTCACTGGTATTGTACCGTGGGTCCCAATTTTGGTACCGTGACAACACTAACAGATTCTGTAACGTTATTTGACGTAGATGAAAACAAATGCTGTATAAATATTCTTTCATTTGTTCCATTTTAGATGATTAGCAGTGGACCAATTTCATATTTTGTTTACTTACTTACTTAGCACTTATCTCTTGTTTAGAATAGAAACTCAATAAAATTTATGTTGTTGACACCAAAAACCCGTAAAGTCTAATTTTTCTACATAGAAAATTCACAGGAGGAATCGATAAGGGAATTGATAAAGAATCGGATTGATAAGCAGAATCGATACTGGCATTGATATCAATAAAATCCTATCAATTCCCATCCCTAACTACTGGTATAGGTATATATTTATTCACCCCCCCCCCCCCCCAATTCTGATCAAAATGCTGTGTAACCCAAAAAGTTGAGCCATCTGCTGTGCAGAATCAGATTCAAAGACAGTGATGACAGTCAGTAACCCCCCACATTACCTTACAAGCAAAAGTAACAGCGCAGTTTTGTACAACCAACTGAAATGTACCAAAAGGGGTGGGAAAAGCGCAGCAGGAAACCCTTATAGCCCAACCACTCAAACATTCACAGCAGGGGCTTAAAAACCCTACAGAGGCTTGGACTCATTAAGTTACCTGAAGATATGCCTTGATACATCACTGTGAAGGAGGAGTGCTTTACCAGGCAAACACTACTCAGTGCCTTCTCACAACTGTCTCTGATGAAGAGTCTGAGCCTATACACGGTGAGCATTAACAACACATCTAATGTTGTCAAAGCAGTCTCTTCATGACGATGCCATCATCTTCACACCAACACCTGGGCACAGATTTGTGGTGGCGCTAATGGCATTCATTGCGTGCTTAAAAAGTATTTATCAAACAGATGAACATCAGGCTACCAGATGGGCGAAGAAGTACCCAAGTTTGTTGCCGCCATCATGAACGTTTGCCACCATTGTTGATCAATATCTCCTCACGTCTGCTGGGATGAATGCCGTTTATTTTTAAAATTCACTGGTGTATAGGCTAAATATCACTGGTGACAAAGTGACAAAGCTGCATCCGATAAAGTTATTTTATAACTTACAGAAACACTGCGTGCAATAATCCACCTTCTATTCCCCTCTCTCAAACTCAAACACAAACACACACACCAGCAGTTTTCTTGTCTCAGTCCTGACAATGGAGCTATTATAATGCATAAGTCGTCAGTTTGCAGTATGGGTGCTTAGGGCTGGGTGATATGGACCACATCAAATATCACGATAATTTTGACAGAATTCATCAATATTGATCTTGCATCAATAATGCAGAGTTGATTACTGATGCTTTAACAAAATATTTACACAATGAGATTTTTAATAAACACTCATCAGTACTGTGGACAAAATCACTTGACGACACTGACTCCCGTGTGCGCACTCCAAGAGAGGAGAGGGAGAGAAGCAGTGCTGCTGCCAGAGGAGCCACTGTTCCGTCTGCAGGGAGGGTAATTCGCAGAAACTTGCTTTAAGAGTCTGAGAGTCCAGGCTGTTCATAAAACATTAAGGACGCCCAGGCCCAATGACACCACAGTTTATTCCACACTACTGGAGCTTCTCCTCTTTTTGGGACCACCACAGAGTCTATCATAATTTCGCTTTCCACCATGCTTGTTGCCATGGGTAACAGTATGACATAGGGCTGGGCGGTATATTAATTTTTTAATTTTTTTTTTACAATATATCAATATATTTTCAAGCAAGATATAGATTTAGACAATACCGTTCATACTGATATAGGGTCATGGTGCACCACATAACACATAACAGTGTTCATCTCACTCACTCACTCACTAGTTCTCCATCAACACTAACAGAGACACAGAGCTGCTCCTCTGTTTAATCTGTCTGTTAATTAGTCTACGGTGCGACATCGATCTATATGTTGCACAAGCAACGCTAAATCAGTCTGTGAGATGAATGAAGTTACTGCAGCAGGGGACGGTGCTGGCACTGTTCCTCTTCACCCTCTACTGCAGACTTTTCATACGACACCTCCACCTGTCATCTGCAGAAGTTCTCCGACGACTCTGCCATAGTCGGCCTCATCACAGATGGAGATGACAGGGAGTACAGAGAACTGAACCAGGACTTTGTGGACCGGTGCCTGAGGAACCACCTTCAAATCAACGCGGGGAAAACCAAAGAGCTGATGGTGGATTTCCACAGGCGCAGACTCCTCCCCCCAATACTGGTGAACATCCAAGGAAAGGACATTGAGATGGTGACATCTTATAAGTACCTGGGTGTTCATCTTAACAATAAATTGGACTGGACTAATCACATAACAGCACTATAGTTCAGGGGGCGCTCCTGAAGTTGTAAGTTTTAAAGTTTAAATTTTTAATCTGACTCTTTCTCCTAATACAATTTCTCAATTGTGGGATCAATAAAGGTGTATCTTATCTCTTATCTTATCTTAGCACACATACAATACTGTGGGCCTTCTCCTCTGTAACTTTTAGCCGCTTCCAGTCAACACCCGACCACCCCCTTTCTACCCCTCAAACAATCCGTGTGTTTTGTGAGACTCTCCTCACCTCTGTCTGCTGGAGACCAGAGAGAAATGTGTTTTTAAAAGTATCTGTATGCTCAGCTCTCAGTACTTTTGTAGCTTCTATCTTCTCTGCACTGGCTCCCTGCAAAATTAAGAAATGAATTTAAAATCCTTCTCCTAACTTACAAAGCTCTAAATGGTTAGTCTCCATCATATCTTAGAGAGCTGATAGTGCCCAATTACCGTGGTCAAATACCACAGTAACCGGTATTACCGCGGTAATAATAATAATAATCATAATAAAACAGGCGTTGTCCTATTTTCGCACTCTAGACTATGAAACGGTAGGCTAATATTCGTTTGACCGTTCATGAGCGGCAGCACTAGGGCTGTCAAAAGCACCATGAAGTTGAGTTTGAATATTTTCAAATTAATTTAGTAGAGTTCGAATAATATTCAAATTTATTATTATTATTATTATTATTATTATTATTATTGTTGTTGTTATTTTTTTTTACAAAAAAAAAAAAAAAGATGCTTATTGCTGGCGCAATATGAACATGACACTCAGATGAAAACATCCGTTCTGACCTCACTGAAGTCCCAGGTATGACCAACTTCTGCCTTGCTATCTGAGCAATGTTTGGATACTTCAGTGCGTAGTTTTCCACCACAAGAGTGGATCCTGGTCGGCTCGTAGTGGTGTCTCATTCTGGTAACGTTTCATCTCTTCTTCAAAAAGGGTAGGCAGGGAGGCAGCAGGTGCAACACCCTCCTTGTATGTCTCCCCGAACAGGTCACACATCGCAGACAGCGCAGTGGGTGATGTTGGCCTTCTCTGCTTCCCTCTCTGGCCCGGCTTGTGCGCAAGCCATCTCTGCCCGAACGGGATTCGCCGTGATATACAACATTATTAATAGTATTCATTAATTATTAATGATATTCGAATTATCAAATTTAGGTTTGAACTTTAAAAAAAATAAATTCGAATATATTTCGAACTTCAAATTTTTTTTTTGACAGCCCTAGACAGCACGTACCAGGCATCTCCTGTCAGTGCAACGCACCATCACACCAGTCGTTTAAATGTGTAGGCTAATACAGACCCGTTAAAAGTTTAATAGAGCCGTTTCTTAACTTCACAATGGTGATTCTGCCCAGCAGCTTGTTGAGTTCCTCATCGTTGCGGACAGCCAGCTGCAGGTGACGGGGGATGATATGGATCTTCTTGTTGTGGCGGGCAGCGTTTCCAGCCAACTCCAGGATCTCAGCGGTCAGATACTCCAGCACAGCCGCCAGGTAGACGGAGGCGCTGGCACCGACACGCTCCGCATAGTTTCCTTTGCGCAGCAGCCTGTGAACACGGCCATCTGGGAACTGGACTGGAACAGCACGGGAGGAGCGGGTCTTTGCCTTGGCTCCTGGTTTTTCCTCCAGTCATTTTTCTGATGCTCTCTAAAGTCAGGACAAAGTGGGTTCTTCTGATAGCCAAAATGGTCCCACACCACCGACTTTGTCCTTTTCGCTGGTGGGAAACCGTGACATCGGTAACCAGCACATGCCTTGTCTCCACATTTGACTTTCCTTTTTGATAAAGTTTGTAGTTAGAGCTGGCTCAGGCTTGTCTTGGACCAGCCCCTAGTTAGGCTGACACAGGCCTAGTCTGCTGGAGGACCTCCTATAATACACTGAGCGGCTTCTCTCCTCTCTCTCCTCAGTTCCTGCATAGTTGGTTATTCTTCATTTGCAAACATTTACATCCTATTTCTGCATATCCCTAACTTGGCTTCCTCTCCGGAGCCTTTATGCTCCAATGTCTCGCAGGTTAACTTGTATCGCAGCTATGCTTGGATGGTGTGTGGTGGATGCACTGCTGCCGTGGTCCTGCCTGATGCCTCCTACTACTGCTGTTATTGTTATCATACTTCTACTGTTATCAGGGTTCCTACACATTTGGAATTTCAAAATACCATACCCTAATTTCCAGACTTCTCTGCCTTTTTTTTTTCAGAGAATATGTGACATCTGAGTAAATATATCAGTGTATCATATTTCACATCATATTAATTATTCTTAATAGGCGATTGTAGCCAAGCACCATAATGGCATGCAAATAAAAACTCAGGTAAGTTCAATGTCTGGGCTGAGGCAAAAAGGTTGGACTCTGGGTGCAAGTGATGCAGTAACGAGACGTCGGTGTTTTTTCCTTTCATGTGGTTCAGAATCGCCTTCTCCCCCATGTTGGCGATGTCAAACGATTTCACACAAAGCTTGCATCTAGCTCTGTGTGTGAATTGGGAATCCTTGGCCAACCAGTATTTATATACGGTATTGTCAAGCCATCCATCCAAAAACTTGCATCTACCCATTGTGAACCACGTGAAACTCGTCTTCTTGTCGAAGGTGCAGTGTTGGAGTGAAACTTGATACCTGGGGGGCTGGAGGAGGGTCATAGGGCAGCGGACTGGACATACCACTTGTCAATCAGGTAAAAGGGGCGGTATGTTTTCTGAGACGTTTGCTCTCACACAAACTGTGCTTGGCCCGGCATAAAACACGATCCGGACTGATTAAATTATTTTTGGAAATACCTAATTTTCTATTTTACAAAACAGTATTTTAGAACAGTGGTAATAGTCTGGGAACATAAATATTTTTCCATACTTTATTGTTCATTTTCTATACTTTTTAATACCTGGAAATTGATCAAATTTATTTCCATACTTTTCCATACTTTCCATACTTGCATAGGAACCCTGTATTATACACATATGATTATTACTGTCACATACATATACTATCATGTGTTAATATATACTTACAACATATGCTACCACAATTACTGTTATTATTATTATAATATTATTACTAAAATTAATGTTGTTGTAATCTATTATCATTACTGTCTGCCCTATCTCTCTCTGGCTCTGTCTGTCTCTTTCCCTCTGCCTCTGTCTCTCTTTCTGTATCATTTTGTCATATGGATCACTGTTAATTTGTTAGGTTGATCTGTTCTGTACGACATCTACTGCCCGTCTGTCCATCCTGGAAGAGGGAGCCCCTCTCAGTTGCTCTTCCTGAGGTTCCTACCTGAGGTTTCTACCAAATCCCCCTGTGATTTGTGATTTTGGACTTCATAAATAAAATTGAATTATCTGAATCTCTGGGGTTAGGAATTTAGTTTCTCTCCTGCGTCCTGTTAGTATATGTAGATATCTGCTTTTTTTTTTTTTTTTTTTACTGTTTATGTTCTCTATCTGCCATATTAGTTGTGTGAAGTTGCTGCTCGAAAAGTCAACATTTCCTTATTTTGCTGCTTCGCAATAAAAGTTTTTACATGACAAAATAATGGGGAACTTTTATTTTCAAGACACTATAGGAATGAAAATATGCTTATTACAGAATTAGGGAAACTTTATTCATGGCTTTTCTTCAATTAAGACAGGTCTAATAATACAGCAGGGAGGAAAATGAAAGCAGAATCAGCCACAGTGAAATGTTAATGAAGAGCTCTCAACAGGCTCTCTGCAAACAGCTCACTCCCAACAAATAAACTTCTTTCACCTGCCCTGCTGTGGAAAAACACATGCAGCAAAAATAACAGGGGACTTAAGCCGTGGATCAGCTTGCAACTGAACACGTAGCCCACCTATTAGAAAATACTGGGATATATATTGTGTATTGCAATTCAGCCTGAAAACACTGAGATATAAATTTCTGTCCATATCGCCCAGCCCTAGTATGACGTCAATATGTCAACAAGACAAAATATCGCGAGTATCACAATATGAATTTTTCATATGATATGAAAAAATATACCTGTTGTGAACGAGGTGCTATGGCACACCCCTACACGTGGGACGCTGTATTTCAGGACATTTTGAACACAAAGGGAAAAACAAATAAAAGGTGTTCTAAGACTAGACAACAACAGTGATTCTTGTTGAATTTAGCATTTCATGCTTTTGCATACAAGCGAAGTGAAGATAATGATCATATTGCGTGTATTGTCTACATGAAGACCACATTGATTACAATCAATATTTTTTGTTAAAAAACAGGGCGTCCTTAAAAATTGTGGGAGAAAATATGATCTTAGCTCCAAGAAGAAAAGTCACATGATTCTCATTTGGAACAATGGCGGGGCTGCATGATTATTGATAAAATGAGAATCACAATTTTCTGTAAGATCTGAGATTACGATTTTCTCACGACTCTCAGGAAAAATGTTAACTTCCCTCTGTATCCAAGACTATTTGCAGTATTGCTTTTCTTGTCTACAAACGTGTCGAACAAACAAACAAAGCATGGTCATACCTTCACATAAAAAATATTGCTCCATCGATCTTTCCATCTATCTATCCATCTATCTATCCATCTATCCATCCATCCATCCATCCATCTACCCACAGTAGAACAAATGGTTTCTGGGAGTTGGAAGAAAAGCTGTCAAAATGGAAAGCAGTAGAGATGAGAAGATAGACTGTTTTGTACTAAACATAAGTCAGATAATGCTTTCAGGTTACGAGAGTTTAACCCTCTTCCACTTCTCAGGGACACCAGCGTCCTCGGCCAACATTACTGTCTTTCAGAGACTGTTGTGGGTTGAGTTTTGAAGCTAGCTTGAAGACAGTGGAGCCTCCCTGCTCTCAGATGATGTAAACCTCTTCTATACAGCACTTAGTTTTGACCTGCTATCTCCCACTTAAGATCCCGTCTTCCCAAAAAAGAAAAAAATGGGTCTATGGTTGGTTGAAGATGGAATACCAAATAGGATCCTGCAACAAGATTGGGATCTTTTAACTATTAATCCTGCAGCCCCAACAGCATACACCGAGCTCTCGCTCTCTGTCTGTCTCTCTGTGTCTGTGTCTGTCTGTCTGTCTGTCTGTCTCTCTAGTGTGACGTGTGTGGTTGTGCTGCTGCCGTGGTCCTGCCTGATGCCTCCTGCTGCTGCTGTTATCATTAGTCATACTTCTACGTCTACTTCTATACTATCATATATTAATATATACTTCCAACTTATTGTACCACAATAGCCGTAACTATAATCATAATTTTATTACTTTCATTAATGTTGTTGTAAGCTACTGTCAATACCGTCTGTCCTGCATCTCTCTTTTTCTGTCTCTTTGTGTCATACGGATTACTGTTAATTTATCATGTTGATCTGTTCTGTATGACATCTATTGCACATCTGTCCGTCCTGGAAGAGGGATCCCTCCTCAGTTGCTCTTACTGAGGTCCACTCTGGCAATCTTTGTTCAACAAAGGGTTGACACCAAACTACATTGCCATCCCTTGAGCCTTTTTCATTACACCAAGAACGCCATCTAGTGGGTTCTGTAAATACAACTGGTGGTTTATGAAGCTTCATTTGGACATCACTACTTAATAGCACTATTAATTAGTGCCAACATTTTGTTTTGTTGGAGGAAATGATCCCTGTTAAAGATAATGGTCCTAATTGACAGCTTTGCTGCTGGAAATGTGGAAAGTAGCCTATCGTGTCTACACTTCATGGTGTTTGAGGGATTTTCCTTTTTGTTTTTTAAAGAGGGAGACTAGGTATATTTTTGCACAGCTGTTAATTTCTAACACAGCTCAATATCAGGATGATTTTATTCAGACTTTCAATTTGGTGTTGATATGATTTAATTGTGGCGTCAGCTTTAAGCTTTATTGTAGCATATATAACGTTATGACAAAGAAGACCAATTTATCAGACGCAATGATGTTAGACGATAATTGTAATACATGCATTTCATTTGCGCAGCATTGATTTCATGGGATTCAAGGGTGTGATCAGTGTCAGATGTACAGGTACTGTAGCTACTTGAATCAGTGATGAGTAATTTAACCTACACATAATTTTATTTGCTACCTTGTTTGTGTCTTGGTTTTTCCCTCTCTCCTCCTATATTTCTTCTTTCCTTACCCATTTATTTTTTCTTCTCTATTATGTGATTTCATTGATGTTTTGACAGGGGAATTTCTTTGATAAGCTTTTAGTAGCTTTTCTTTTTTTAATCTTGTAAATTTTATACTGTCTGTTAACATTATGTGCAAATAAACTAATCTAAACTAAAACTAAACATTATTCATCCTGTTATGCGATGCCACGCATGTTTCCTCCTCCTGCAGCTGCCACGGTGTTGGCCTTTTCTGTAATGTTGCTTTTCTCCTCCTCATATTTTAGTAGAATTAATCTCTGATCCTTATGAGAAATACTTTTTTCCTCACATACGGCGCTCTGTGAGGATGCTCAGTGACGCTGCTCAGTGACGCTGCGCTTCTCTCACGACTGTGATTGGTCCGATGCATGCGCGTTCACGGCTCTTGATAAAGCAACCCTGGGTTGAGTTGCCAAGTTGATATCCAGCGTCGTGATACCGATTATCCTGATTGCCATTGTTAGGGTTAGTCAACCCAGGATAGGTCTGGGTAACCCAGGAAAGGTTGATCTCGCTTCGTGATACAGGCCCCCGCTCTCCAGATCTACGCTTTTTGCACTCTCGGGTTTGACAGTGTGCCTGCTCAACTTA